GCACAACTGTGGGGTTTGGTGTCGTCCCCCCCGTGCTGGTCAGGGTATCCTTCACAAGGCAGAGCGCTGCAGACACAGAAGACCCAATAGCTTATATATGAACACCTATTCAACTGAAAGATTGCTGGCTGAGGTCCAGCTCCTGCAAAGTTCTCAGGCTCCCAAGCAGCACTGGGGTAAGGGAAGGTCAGCAGGTGCAAAGCAGTAGCTCAGTTCTCTAGAAACAGAGGGGTCCTATGAAAGAGAAGGAGTTAGCAAGACCTAGATCCAAGCAGTCTTAATAGATGGCTGTGGAATATCACAGACCTAACTGTATCATGAAATAGTTTTCCAGTTTCAAGAGACTTGCGGGTTATTAATGAATTAGTTTTACCATTTGAGAGATTCCCAAAATCCAGATTCGTTCTCACTGGTACCATCACTTAGCAGATCTTCATTCATCATATCTAGTTTTTTCTGAACCTGTAAGGCATAACATTGCTTTAGGGAGTGGAACCACGTATCGGGCAAACAGCTGTGGAGCGTTATTTTGACACTGGCTCTGTTTGTATCCATTTGAATTATGTCCAGTGAGCTGATAGGTAACCTACGCTGTCTGGAGAAACAGCTCAGGAGTGAACTGACATTTTCAGAAGAGATTCCAAAGCTGCTTTCAGACACCAAGGGCATGTTAGTCTAGATGGTTAAAATGCTTTGCCAGCAGGTTTTGAGTGACCCTCCTTGACGAGGGAGACTGGCAAAGACAAAACCCTCAAACAAACCGACCACCTCCCCCACAAAACCCAACACAACACCACTTTCTAAGAGGTATTCTTGGCCACTGAAACTCCAAAGCAGACACACAGACAAAGCAGCAAATCGGGAGGATGTCCCAGAATTAACTCTAGCACAAGTAAATCCTGCAAGGAAGTGTGAACCAGGTGTGTTATAACCATCACTTATCTATCAGTTGTCCTCCTTAAATTTTTCAGCTATGTTTTTATCTGATAGGCAACCCTAAGGCACATAGTAGATTATTAATTTCCCTTTTTTTAAAATTTATTCGTACCTACTCTGTATCAGATTGATAGAAAATTTATTACCAGATGAGTCAAATTTGTCTGTAACAGACAAAACAATGACTGAATGGATACACTGAACGTTTATTACTAGACATATACAGGACACACCAAACTGGCTGTTTTTTTCTTAAGTCATAAGCACAGCTGAGGCTGTAAAATGGGAGCGTAATTGTCTCTCATGGGCATACAAAAGGAGCAGCAGTCACCTGTCATTCTCACTTGGGTGAAAAGAAACACCACCAAGTCCAGAGATAATTCTCTCCATTACAGATACTGTGATGTGAACTTTGTGCAAACTGCCTCAGATGTTTGTGTGTAGCAAGGGACCGTCAGGCCTTAATCAAAGTTTGTTCCCCACTATTGGTCAAACAGTCATTTTTCAGAGCAACTGTATTTTTTAAACTCACCTTCACTTTAATAATTTTGCTCTTGAAGTTGTTGAGAACAACAATAACTTCGCTAGCTTCAGGTGGAGAGTCTGTGCCATCATGGCTGAAAATACAGTAAAATGCTGACCTTTACTACAAAGTAGAAATGTGTTCTTTACTTCTTCAACACATTTTTCTACGTGGTATTAAACCTTAGCACAGCAAAACAGGTTTGAGACATGCAGCAATGTAACAATACATGTATGTGAACACATACTTACTGGGTTTTTTTAAATGGATCCATTTATTTCATCTCACATAACTCATGTTTGGTACGAAATGTAATTTGCTGTTCAGTTCACTACACTTTAGCAAGGGAACTGTTAGGTCCACACATTAAAATGCCTACCTACTTCAAAAGTTTCACAAGAAAAATACTGAAGTACTTTCACTGTCCTACCTGTAGATCCTGTAGATGTCCTCAGATCGACCCTTTCTGAGTCTTAGGGTCCATGCACCAGGATTGGCTTTTAACTGGAAGTAACCCTGTAAACCAAGAAGCGTATTTGTCACTTCCCAGAAAATGCAAATGTAGAAAAACAAGTTTTTAAGTCGTGTATTTTGATGGACTGGTTTATATCTGAAAATAGTTATTTGTAAGACAGCTGATTAACATAACCATTAAGCCTTAAAAAACCCAGATAACAGGAGAAAAAACCCAGAACTTCTACTCAAAACCGTTGGGTTTTTTTTTTTCGTAAGAAACAGGAGTATGAAAAGGTCTAGCGTTATTTGTTAGATGACAGGGAGTCTTCAGAGTGTCCTGACCGAACAGTGCAATCCCAAAGTTTCTACTGCAGAAGTTTGCCTTCATGAAGGAGTGAGTGAATTTCAAAACACCAGCTGGTAACTACACAGCAGCTCACGAAAGTTCTGTCTACAGAACAAAGTTTCAATCAATTTTGAAGCTCTACGTCCTTCAGCTACTGCAGAAAATAGTAACATCATTTATGTGTTACAAAAGACCTCTTCTACAGAACTTTAAAAATTACAATGTGAATTTCAAATATTGTGTACAAGTCTTGATGAATTTTCAGGTCCCAGACCTGAATATTTTCTTCTGTGATTTAGATTACACCTCTAGAAGATACAGACATGTGTAGTGGTGCTTCAGTGTCCCATCCAGTTTTGTTCAGTGACCCCAAAAGCATGCAGTTCCATATGTGAACCAGTCTGCTTTAAAAAAAAATATAACAAAAATTTAAAAAAAAAGCACAGAGCATGTTCCTGCTCCCTTCACAGTGTAGACACTGAGCTGAGGAAGAGGATTCCCAGATACAGCATTGTATACTGTAGTACAGACATTAGAAGGAAGACACCTCCAAGCCATTAAGCTTTATTCCCCAACACATATATGCCCGATGTGATCACACGTAAAATAAGGGTCATCATCTTTTTTACAATAAGAAATACTACATCATGATAGGATATACTTTGGCTAAGAAAAGGCGCAGAGAAATAGAAAATGAGTGTAAGAACTTTAAAATAAATATTCAGCATCAGTGAATATTTTTCCTTGCTTCTTCTGTAATACATTTAAAGATTCCAAAAACCAAAATGGCAATTTATTCCAATTTTTCACTAACATTACATAGCACGAAAATATTCCAGTGGCCAGCTTCCCTTGCCATAAATTCAGTCCATTACCTTTCTCATTGCCCAGTGTGAACACTGAAAACAGACTGATCCCTCGTGCAGTGACCTTATAAAGGCAGCTGCAGGGAACAATCATATGCTTGGACTTCCATCACCTTTTCTCAACTAAATTAAGCAATTCCCATTCTTTCATACTTCCTTTGTTGTCTAGAATGCCAGTTCTGCTGACTCTCTCCATTTATTCCACAGATCTCCTGAAGACACGCGTCCCAGAACAAGACAACTGTCCACCTAGGCTTACAGTACCAGAGCGGATGGTCTAAGGAGCACCCTGTCTAGATAAAGCAGAACTGTCTGACCTTCCCTGGAAAGAGGTTGCTGAAGAATACCGGCATCATATTAAGATATTGCAGAAGACCCTTCTCAGCAAGTTGAAGGGAGAGGAGTGCATCTTGAAAGAGGTAAGAGACAAATAAGCACACTGCAAGGTTTCAGACATCATGTTAGGAATGATGTGGTTCTGATATATTTGCAAGCAACTGTGGAGTGTAACATCACAGATCTATAGCCTGCATACTAGAAAATACTCACTGGTTTATGCAAATGATTGTACTGACTGTAGGACCAGTAATTTGTTGCCAGTTTCCATTGAATGCTTACCAAGTTGGCCATAACAATGGTATCAACGATAACAGGACTGGTTGAAGTTCCCAGTGTAAACTGGAGTCCCCGAGGCGGCTGTCCAGTAGTAATGTCATAGCAGTGTCCTTCCAGAAGCAGGTACTCCAATTCATATTCTGCAGCTACAACACTGTCCACCTGTAAGAAGATACTGCTGAGTTCAGCACTAGCTCTAAAGCACTACATTTTTAGTGATTCAGTTACTCTCTAAAATAGCCATAGTTATTAAATAACACTTAATTTTACCACAGTAATTTTTTTAGTAATTTACCTAGAAAGCTTCAAAGAGGTGAGCTCCTTCAGGTGATGAGCTTCACACACATATGGGTACGAGCATCCCTGACGAAAAAGATTTGAATCTCAACTGGTAAGATGCTAGGGTAAGAAAAGGGAAGCACTGTTGCTCCATTTCCATCTTATTTTTTTAACACTTACTGGAGATTGTTGCCAAGTGATCAGTCTGGCATCTCATAAAAGGTATATGATGGGCTTCGGAATTTTGAATCTAAACCTGTTTAAAGCTAGTCTCCTCTAATATTTACTATCTGAAATAAACATTTAGTTTTGCTCTGCATTACTCCTACCTAGGGTACTGTCAGAAAGACCAATGCCTTCTTCCTACACCAAACAAAAGCGCCAAGAAAAGAAAAGAAAAAACAACCCTAAAACCCTTGGGTCCCTGCCAGGCTAAATTCAGATGTAGCCTGAGGACACTACATAAGCAAAACGTTAGTCTGATCTCACAGAGCGTCTTGTCTCATTGCACATCCAAAACAACAGTTTAATTGCTATAGCACCAACAGACTGCGTATCAGGAATTGAGAATTGTGCACCTGCAAAAGCAAAGCTGCTATTTATTTGGAGGCTCAGGATGGTGCTTCCAGTGCCTGAAGCACTTGATCCCCCTCTCTCTCTCTGGTTTTCAGTTAATCTAAGGGGCAGTGTTGCAATCAGAGGCTCAAAATGCGTACGAGTATCAGCCATTTGGTCGTTCATTTATGGCTTTACAGTTCAGTTAAGAGATGAAAAGCAAAATAACCCCAGACAAAACAAAGCAAACAACAAAAAAACCCCACCCACCACCAACAAACACCCAGTTTCTTAGATTTGTGAATAACTAGTACAGGATTAGCAATATCAGACTCTACCACTATACTGCATCACATTCCCAAACAGCATCAGCAAGATGCAAAAGCAAGAGGAGACTCACAACATAACGTTCAGTGAGAAAGCAACCCGCGTGTGTAACGACCGCAAGGTTGTACAGACTTTTGCTTTCCAGAGGCCTGTTTGTAAAGGGTTTGACAATGGCATCGCACGCAGCGAACAGTTTCTGCACTGCAGGAGTCACCTGCACAGCTGTGGGCCCGTCTCAGCAGACAAGGCCCAGGGCTGGCAGGTTTTGGAGCCTGAACATCCTTCTCCCCTCTAGAGGTGGGTCCTCCAGGTCAGGGCTACCAGAGCATATCGGTGGGGAAGCCTGTCCTGCCACGCCCAGTCTGCAGATGGATAGAGGACTGCAGCCTCCAGAGCTGCCAGCCTGGTATCTTCTGCATAGGCTGGGATTATACATCTAAAATTACCAGGTTTAATACATATCTGCAGTTCTTCAAGGCCAACTAAATAATGGCTTATTTCAAGGGAAAAGACTGTTTGACCACCTCATTTAATTTTTACTATTTAACATTGCACCTTGAAGTCCAAAATTTTCTACTGTGCATCACACATAGATTTTCTGACTTCTAATGTATGTGTTTTAGAGCCCACCCAAACATGTTAGTGTAGTGCATTTTGTAACCACTTAGTAGCTCACCATTTCTAGATCTTCTGAAAACTATTAAAGCTAACTGTTAACAGCAAGAGGTTAATAATTAGCCACAGGAGTCTTTGCCGGTAACAAAAGCTGTGAAAATGAACAGGTAGCTAAAGCCGGCTGGGTGGCTTCTCCGAGCACGGGAAGCAAGTAGAATTTACTTACTGGAACAGGACCTGGATCTTACTTCAAAATTTCTAAACAGAGGTTTAAAAAATACCAAGCTTATTTTCAGTTCTGACATTAGCTGTAGGGAGCTCTAATCTGAAAGAATTTTTCAACTAAAAAAAATGAAAAAGTTATTTAATGTTAAACAAAGAGTTTCTTTGTTTCTAGCTCAGGACACTTGGAAATGTTACACGTACACACTCAAAGCATCTCTAGGCTCTGCTTCAAGCCTACAGTATTTTTCAAATTGTAGTTGAGGCATCCATGAGCGAGAACAGCAGTCTTACTGTCTCTGAGCTTAGGTTTACCTGCGTCCCTCCTAGAAAATGTTTAGGGGTCTGCAAACATAAAAGGCGTCAATATCCACAGTTCTATGTTTATTAGCATTTTAAAATTCTACATTTCTTTCCCATTAGAAAAATAAACCCTGGAAGACCAACACCATTTAAACACATTGATTTCTCTTACCTCCTCTAAGTAAATATTATCAAGGTCATACGGGGTTCTGACAGATTCCACCATCCAGCTCTCAGGAGTATTTAGGTTCAGAGTGAACAGTGGAGAATGGGGCATATCCAGAAACTTGGCAATTGGTCCTGGAGCAAATTTATTATCTGCTGTGAAAGAAATCTCTGGCTCCAAAACATAGCGATAAAAGCTGAAATTTCAGAAGGAAAAAGTTAGAACATATTTCTGCCAAACTTTGCAAATGTTTCACTCTTGTTGAACTTGCTGACAGCATCAGCTTTCCCAGACCTCCGGCGTCTCTAAAAGCCTGATACAACATTTGTATTCCCTCTTCCACACAGGAGCCTTTGTGCAAAGCAACAGGTTGTGTTGACCTTAGAACAGATCAGAATTTTCATCTTGAAGGACCAACCAGAATGTGCAAGGCTCAACCGTAATGATTAGTAAGTTATTCAACTTACATAAATAAAAATGCGTCCAACTTGTAAACCAGCTGAATCACCTCATGCTATCCACCAATTCCCAGATTCTCTGTGGGATATCGTGCTATTATATAAACAAGCTCAAAGCAGTTCTTGAGACTTCTAGAGGACATTTGAGCGTGTTTCTGTGCTTGCACATTCCAGCGGGTTCTTCTTTCTCTCTCTTTTTTTAACCCTGGCATGGTATTGCTTACCTTTTCAGTGGCATGTCAGAAAGTTTGGATTGGCAGTTCATAAACACTCGTAGGTTCATATTTATCAACTGATGCAAAACCTAAAGGATTGAGAAAAAGACATCCCTTAAAATGCTAGCTAGGAAAGCTGACCACTGTTCTTACAGACAAGACCTCAAGTAGGCATATGACCTGCTCATTCTCAGTCCTCCCTTCTCATTACTTGCGTTACCACAACCACCTTTTAATATGTGGTTTTAAGAAGAACAGTTACTTGCCCCCTCACACTGCAGGCATTCTTCTTGAGATGCGGACCCTTTCTTCCTCAAGAACTTCATCAGGGCATTGCAAACTAAACCATTAAAATGGTGAAACTAAAAGCTATGTAGGCAATACCTAAGCGAGATCTTGTTAGTGTGCAGTATAGCGTAATTAGTTTTTCCACTAATAAATGTATTGTGCAACGGATGCATTCTCAGAAGGTCACTGGTCACCATCCAGTCAAAGCTGAAGACAAACATTCCAAAATTACAGAACTGAGGCAATTGTTTGAAATTGCCATAAAATGCGTTACAACATTGTATACGTACCAAAAGTAACGGAGCAAGTCTTTGAGCATCTCTGGTCACAGGATCAACAATAGCCACAACATCAAAGTACGTCTCCCCCTCCTTTGGTCTCAGTTTAACTGCACTAAACACAAGAGAAAACAATTTTAAAGTATCAAACATGTGGATAAACATAGGAGAAACACTGTCCATCTCATTGCGAAGTCAGATTACTTCCTAAATGCTATGCGCCTTCTGAAACTAAACAGAGGAAGAAAAATACATATACACATACATGGGTATAGCTATATGTAGACAAAATTAATTTCTGGAATCTCACTGTGCCCTGAAGACTGTTGGGGACTTCCCTATTGCTACTTGGATTTTTTTTTTTTCTTTTAAAGTTAAATGCAACTTAAAACCATTGGGACGTTAAAAGACAAGGAAAAGCATATTGCTCAGTAAATGCCAGCAATCTTATACCTGTATCGTTCTTCAAAAAAATGATATTCAATCCTTGCCTCTCCTTTTGGCTGAGCAGAAAGAAGAGCATCCACTTTCATTACCAAGTCACTTGCACTGGAAAGAAAAAAGGGAAAGGGAAAAAAAAAAAGGTTTATAGATACTCAGAAAATATGTGTACTTATCACATTTCTACCAGTTAGCAGCCAAAGAGAAGACAGACAGAATTCAGATACACAAACTTACACTTTTACTACCTCTCTACATAAGCTCTGAAGAATTAAGCATATTTAAGGGTTAATGTGCTATTAATTTAAACAGGTTGCAGCCTAGGTACTGAGGGTACCAAAGAGTTTAACTCTGTAACAAATACAGAACAGCTGGTATTTTAGGGGTCAGCCCTGCTACAGGCACTGACTGCATTCCTGGACTTCACCAACCTCTCTTAGACCTGCAAGCTATTCAGATCAAACCTTTGTTTCACAGCAGTCTTCCCCTTTTACACTGCAACACTAAAAACTAGGAAGCCATCCTGTATATGGAGAGACTCAAGAGAGAGGAGTCCTTATCATTAAAAGAGAATTACTTCTGACAACTTCTTCCTTTTTATTATTCCCATAAATTTTCAGTCTAGTATCTTAAGGATATATTTAATGTTGAAACTGTATAACCTCTTGAAAGTTCAATGAAAACTGATTTGTACATCATAGCTTTGCCAAGAAGCAATACTGTAACTTAAAGGTCTGTCAGCTTTTCACAGATTAAGTAAGTCTCATAGATTTATAGTGACAGCTGTTTGAACTGTTAATACCAAAACCACAAGCCTGGTGCAGTCTGCCAAGTTCTACAGTGTTTTCCAATGCAGCAGATCATTTCAAAAGCTTTCAAAAACCTTTGGCAGCATTCAAACCAAAAAACCCACTGCTCTGTGCAAAACTAGCCTATGTTCAAATTGTACCCTCTTCCCTTATTTCTCTTCTGATTCCCAACACAGCAATGGATGCAGAAGTGTTTGGAATGCTGTGAGAGCCTGTCCTCCTAGGATTCAGAATCACACAAGATTTCTGCACAGAAGACCTTACGCTTAACTTACTTGACCAGCCTTTAACAGTCAAGCAGCATGATGGAAAAATGTAATGCAAAATATGAGAGGAACTATCTTCTTAGCTATGAGCTCCAACAGACAAACGCATGCCTACAGACTTCAGTTCTAACCCAAAGATGACTTTATTTTGATTAGCTCACCTCTATGCTTTCTGCAATAATTATCTAGAACTATGATTTTCATTTTCTTATCTACCTCTTTTCCTGTTGTTTGTTTTTAAAAAGTTAAAAGCAGTTTACATCATTCCATAGTACTGACAGTGAAAAATATTACTAAAGTAATATTTATATTGATATGCCAAGCAGGACTTAACTGCAAACGGATTCAGAAAGCGTACTCCAGTGTCTCATTTTCTTCCCTTCTTTCTGCTTTTAAATCAGTACTGCAGTAATCCTACATGAGTTGTGAAACCCTGACATATTGGAGGTAAATGGTTTAAAACACCATGCCCATTAAGATTTTGCTGGGGAAAAACCCACAGGAAGTCTGAAGGCCTTAATATTAATGAAAAGTTAGGCTTCTCTTCCGTTCAGAGGAGCAGAAAGGTAAAGCGGTACAGAAAACATTTTCAAGAATAAATGTAATCACGTGCAGCAATTTGTACCACTTGGTAACACATCCCACAGCAGCAAGCATCTCTTCTCTGCATACAGACATCACCAACCAGAGTCAACTAAACCATGAAAAAAACTTCATCTAGCTGAGCACAGCAGTGAATGTAGCCAGCCCCTGCAGAATGCATCACCACGCTCATTCTGCGTTTTTTCAGTCCACCTGCATCCCTCCCCACCCCAAATCCAAGAAAGCACTTCCTGAACTCCTGTTGCCGGCCACGTTGCTGTGACTGTCTCAGTGAGTACCATCACATTTCCTGTTTCATGTTCACTTGAACGCTTCTGTAGTAAATTCCTACAAACTTGGGCATTTTCCCAGTTTCTTGCTGCTTGTCAGTGAGGCTCCTGCCAACACAACTCCTCCGACTTCCATTATGAGGTAACGGCCCAGCTCTGGCAGGTTGCTGCTGGATGCAGAAAACGAATCAAGAACGAGGAACGCTGAGCACGGTACCATAGGAGGGGCTGCCAGTATGTTCAGAACTGCCTCCTCAGTCTGGGAGATACATTTAGAGCTCCATACCTCCAGCAGACTGTGAGCTACAAAAAAGCCACTAAAGCACTTTAAACCAAAAAAAGATAATTTACATCTTTTTCCTTTCTCACTCGCCCCTCCGAGCAGCTGAGCCTTGACCGTTCGAACACATGCCTATTTGTTTATAGCACCTATCCAGACTGCACTTGATACAGCTTTCTCCAGGCTGCAGAAAGTCATATCAGCAGAGTACCACCACTTTTTTGTAAGCTTCTTCATGTTTACTTACAGATCTTCTTCGAATCCCAGCTGTTGAATCTGTGATTTGATTTTCTGTCCTGATGTCTTTAGTACGATATTCTCAAGGAGATGAAAATCATCCTGATTGAACATCTCACCATCCTCTAATGGGCCAATAATCTACAAAAAAAGCAGGATCAGCATTATTAGGTTAAGGCTACACTGGAACTAAATTCAAAGATGTATTAAATATTCCAGCCCAGTCTCGGTGGGTATCAGCTGTTTACGCTGGTATTAATGTTAACAGCAGCAGAGTTTAACACATCAGTCTCACTATTTAGACCCAAGAGTCCCAGACCAAGGCATAAAATGCATGCTTAAAACTTTCAGTAGGTGCTTGGTTTGCAAAAGTCAGGCATATTAAATTACACACACAATACTAGATCTTGAAGGGGCAAGAGAGTACCAGGCCAATTCCAGTAGTCCAACAAATCTCACTCCTCTAGCCTGCAGAAGTCTAAAAGCTACCTAGATGAGTCTTGCTATTTTGCTAATGAGAGAAATAGAATACCACAACTCACCACTTGAAATCTTTAACCCATTAAAGTATACAGTAAGCACTGGTGCTTGTGGGGTTTTTTCCTAACTAAGAAGCAGACAACAAAAGAAAACTGAATGCTGTACACAGCTGGGTTTCATTGTTTGCAGTGAAATACTACTGTAACATCATTTGCCCAATCTGAGTGGCTCTTGTAAAAAGAGCTGCTGGAAGAGACCAAGGTACCTTGGTCAGGGCCAGATACAGCAGCATTTTGCGCACGGTCTTTCACGTGTATCATCCCTTTCCACCCCTGGACTCTGAAAGCAGCTCTGCTACTGACAGATCTGAATTTGTACAAAACACCAACACCTAACTGCACACAGTACAAAGAAAAGGTTGCTGCAGGTCGGAGTAAATCAAACTGGAAGCGGTCCTAAAGACTGCTGAGACCTAAAGAAGGCTGAGGCTCTGTGTCTGATCCCGAGACTCTGCTGCTCCAGGTCTGCTTCCTTCCCATGTGTGGAATATCTCTTTTACTGTCTGCCAGTTGATCTCACCCTTCCGTTGCTGATCACAGCTCTCTGCCCCTTCTTCAGCTTTAGAACGTCTCTGCAGTATACAGCATGGGACAGAATAAAATCCACCCTGGGAGATTCAAAGGCTTCTTTGAAAATATTGGTATCCATACCCTGAAAGAAAAGAATACTTAACATTGAAATAGGAAGTACAGCTCTGCACACTTTTTTTAAATGCACCTTCTTTGTTTCCATTCAAGACCGTATCTTGCTAACATTTGTCCCCAGGCCTCTTTCCTTTGTGATCTTTAACCTAGTTCTTGCCTGTTACCATCATACATTATCCCAGCTTATGATGTGAAGGGCCACAGCCCTAGTAGTTGTTGCTGCCTAGACCAGTTGTTCCATTCTTCTGTTCTGAAGTGATTCTTGCCTAACTTTTATAAACTTACTTTGAGAAATGTGATTATTATTTTTTTTCTCAGGTTTTTAGAAAGATTATAGTTCTCTTAACCCCCCAAGAAACAACTGGAGTCACTGAATCTGCATTCCTTTTGACTTCTCCAAGTTATGTAGCTTTGATGTGTATGAAGATTTATTTTGTTTTTAGATGGACTGTTATATTTAGGTAAGTTTACCTTTCAGATCAAAAAAAACCAACAGCACCAGAACCAACAGGGTTACTCGCCATTGTTACTGCATCTTTTGCATATGAACATACTACACTAAAAATGTCACTAGGAGAACAGGCGAAGCACCCTCCTTCATAGATACCAGCAAACATGCTTACCCCAACAGCAAATTCTAAGATGTCAGCTCCTGCCTCTAGTGCCTTTGCAATTTCTTCTTTTGCCATTTTGGTGATGAAGTTCTTGGCGTTATTTGACGTTTGTGTCTGGAGAGCTGCCCATATGGCTTTAGCGACAAGTGTATTCTGGCTATTTGGATCTTCACTGGGATTATTAATCATGCTAATTCGAACATTATTGCTGGATTTCTGTGTTTAACAAAACATGCAGTAGGAAGATTTTAGATTTCAGGTATGTTTTAACTGAGAAGAATAAATCTATCTTAATAAACACTGTATCAAAAGCTTTGTATTTCTTAACCAGAAAAACAGATTCCAAATCCGGTAAATAACAGCACAACGTTAAAAGTTAAATGAACTAATTTAGCATCAAGTATTTAGTTTATGTATAGGCACCGCTGTGTCAGGAATCAAGATAATACTGTGCTTTATAAGAGACACGGGACCACGGCCACTGCTCAGACGTCTGGCAAAACAGGGATTGCAGAGTAAGCTATCAATTATTATGATTCCGTCATCTTCCTGGAACAAATGAGACAGAGCAGAGAGCAACGCTCATGTTCATCTCCAAACCAAAACTGAGACAGCTTCAAATTTAGAACCGTGGGCTTAAAAGTACATCTTTTCTTTACTGTATTAGCATAGCGCCAAGAGGGGATTCTGTCCTGGTACAGGAAGGCCAGCGATACTCCAGCCCCCTACAAACACGACGAGGCTGGATACTGGAGACCCTGCAGGAGAACCAGTCTCCCGAGGTCATGCAACAGGAGGAAGCACAGCCGGTGTTTTTCCAGCCTCTACCTGCTGCTTTGCTGGCACTGCTAACCCGTTCAAATGAAAATATTACCTACCTGGTGTTTAATTGCATCATACAACAATTGCCTCCCTGAAGGTTTATCAAAATCGCCAACAATCCAAAAAGTAACCGGTCTAACAAAGGAATCATCTGCAATTAAAAAAAAAGAGTGGGAGAAATTTGAGGGTGAAGGGAAGAAAATCTTCAGTTTTTCCTCATTTGGAGGAGAAATACGATGCACATGCAAAGGATTCGAAAAAAGTAAAATTACATAGGGAAGACACGGATGAAGCCAAGCTATGAAGTCTGGCAAGACAAGAATAAGAATGTTGGTATTACCTTAGCTTTCATTTATCTCATTCGGAAAACCCATATGGGACAGCATGCATCACTGTTTCTAAGCTGCATTTTGGGGTTTTTTTCCCCCCTACTTTTTTAATTGAGAAATTATTAAGGAACCTATAAATAACAGATTCCAGCTAGGGTACAGACATACCGCTTGTTCATACTGAAGCTGTTAGATCACAAAATCAGTTTTGTATAGAGAAAAAAGTGCTGAAGCAAGCATGCATTTAAAGAGCTTTCTTCATTTCCTGATGGTTCTAAAGCCAGTGTTACAAAGGAACCAGAAAATTCCCAGAACAAAAACATACGAAATGCTAAAGCATGAGTTACCATAGATCTCCTTGGAAGACATTCCTGGTCAAAAAGCAGAAAGGAAAGGGGGAAAGGAGAGAGACATTAATAATTTTATAGTAATCCCAGTGTGTATCAAGAAGCTGCAGCACTGTACGGGGCATAACTGAATAACTGAAGTTCGAGTCCAACAAGCAACAAGTTTGTGATAATTTTATTAGAATAAGCTTCGACTTTTTCTTCCCCTCAAATGGACTGATGCTTCATTTTCATGCTGCAGCACTAATTATACTTCGTATTACCAGTTTCATACCATACCTTGAAGGCATCATTCTGAAGACACTTTGCAAAAACTGCCGTGCCATTACGACTTGGATGTTAGTTTCTGTTACCTTCCCTCTTTAAAACTAGCATGACAGTGCTATTTCAGTACTGTTGCTGAGCCAGCAATATGTATAACTTTCCTATTATTTCAGAAAATGTGCTACAGCGTTACTGTAATACATACTAGTTATTAAATACCTTAAGTGACAGAAGGGATAGTGACCCAAAACTGTCAAGCCATGAGATTGCAAATTAATGCACGCTTTCAAATGAGCATGCAGAGGCGTAGGTTTAATTAATACTCTACAAAGGGAATGCAAGAAACTTTTTCAGATCTAAGTGAGTGAACCTTAACCAAGGACAAACACAAGACAGCAGGGGCAACGGGAACTTTTAAGGCAGTGCATGCAGGTGGCGGCGGCTGGAGAGGGTACCGGGGAAACTTGTAAGAGTCCAGTAAAGACAACAGACAGGAACAAGAGCAATTGGTTCAAATGACAGCAGCTGCTTTGTGATTCCTAACAGAAATGGGCACAGGAAGGGCCTGATTAAGCTCTGTGTTATGTTTGTGCATGCATTTCTTACATGGAGAAGTACAGCTGCATTTTAACGCTAACAAGAGACTTTAGGTATAACTGTAATATAACAATACCATCACTGAAAAAGCAGCACACGCACTGGAGCAGTGAACCCGGAACAGACCACGTTAGGTGTTGTCTTACGTGATCATCAATAACAATTTTCTCCTGAATCCAAGTAACTTGAGTGTTGAATTACAAGACAAGAGCTAGAACTACTTTTGTATTTTTCTAGCGAGGATCAGAGCTTATGCTGCTGCATTTCTGGTGGTCCTTTGCAATACAGCAAGGGCAGGTTGGGGGTACTTCATTATTCACTGAGGGCTGTATTTAAAGAGGGGAATGTTCTTGTTCCATGTAGATGCCATGCCTTATTAAAAAAATCTTTCTTTTTAACGCTTAGATTGCACCATTACCCACAAGCCTGAACAAGGCTCAATCTGTTGTGTTGAATACTGTCTATACGCTTGGAAACACACGTAAGATTAGGTTTGGGTTCACGATCCACTGCAGATGTTACCTTTCTTTGTTAAGTAGGTCATGCTGTTTGCGACAGCAGCTGTCTTATCCTTGGAATCCAACGTGGTAAATCGAGCAAAGTCATCCACATAAAAGTTATCTGAGGAAGAGAAAAACTATTAGATGCCAAAGCAAACTATTACGTGTAAAATGAAAGAAAAATCACTACTGCTACCAGAACATTGGGAGTACATCCCATTTTGTTCCTCGTGATACTGCTTTTGATGTCTCCTTTCCACTGTTAATACATACTAAGCTGAGGAATATATTTTTGTGGTTTCATAAGTTACACTGATGTCTCGTAAGTTACATTAATAACTACATTGCATATTGTATACGCAAAAGTCAGTTGAAAGAATCGTTCAAGTCTCACTTAGTTGATGTTAATTGACGTAAATAATATACATTTTAAAATCCACTGTGTTACAACTCAAAAAAAGGTAGTTTTTGCAATACTGTCATTATACTGCAGAGTCGCTGCATTGGCTGTTAATGCATTCAGCCATGAAAAGTTCTGCTGAAATATATGGCACAGCAGATCTTAAGTAATTCCAGAGAGAATTGTGAATCTCTGCTCACAAGAAGGTTAGAAATAAGAAAGAAGCTGTTGCTTTATACGTTGTATCACTGTTCTTGGCTTTTGCTAGCATTGCTGATATCTCAACTTCATGAGTCATATTCCCCCAAAGGTTTGTATAAAATCAAAACAAATCCCTGTTTTGAAAAATCTGTAGACATTCATGTTGTTATTGTACATAACATCTCCCCCAGCACCAGGGCTAGAACAGCACTTGGGGTGCTGTTAATACTTTGCCACTAGAGCTATCCATTGGGACAGCAAAAGTCTTTGACTCGGGTACTCAGGTTTGATGCAATTAAAAGCATCCCTTACTCATTCCTGTCAGATCTAGGTACTCTCTCTCAGACATTAAGATCCTTGAGTTAATTCTTGGAACAACGTTCGGCTGGTTCATGATATACTCAACCACATCTTGGTCATTGGATAATTCACCCTGAAGGAAAGAAGAAAGAAGCAATATTTGTTATTTCACATGTATATTTGCCTTAGATAACTTTAAAAAAACAAAACAAACCCCAAAAAAAACGCCACCAGCAACAAAAAAAACAAACTAAGAAACTATGCCAGTTAAGTTGTCTTGTGTATTACACATTCAGGGACTTCTGAGTCAGTTTTTCCAAATCTTGTTTGTCTCTTCACGTCACAGCTGCACTCAGCACCTACCAGGTAGACGGCTCGCTGGAAGATGCTCGTGGTTTCCAAGATCTTGTGCATTGTCACGGTTTCTAGGTCATCAGGATCCAGCTGATCTTTTTGAAAAGGCATTCCATTGAACAGCACGACGGGGAGCGGGCCTACACCTGTCTGCTCGTAGTAACCTCTCGCTGCCTACACACAGGGAGAGAAGTAGCTTTACCACGTCAGCCCATTACCACAGGGGTTCGTAATGTTTCCATGCAATACCCACACAAGGCTATTCTAAACACACTGAGATGTCCTTCCAGCTTTTCAGTGATACAGAGAATATTAACTTTATGCAGTGCCTAAGACACTTTCTTTACCTTGCATGGCACAAGATATCCCTGTCTACACAGTTTCAAAGCAAAAAAAGTTACTTCATAATACAGGATTGCAAAATACTTCATTGAGTTTGTACTGTAAATAAATAAATTCCAATGAGCACTTTTGGTAATAGCAAAAAATGCACAACAGGAAATCTGACTTTGCATATGGAAGCAAATGCAATGCAGGCAGTGACAGTTGTAATGTAAGACAGAGTAGAGGTTTTTTCTTATTATTTTTAAGAATATGTTTCTTAATTCATGAAAAAACATTTACTTGTGGGGGAGGGGATTATTACATCAAAACAAATTTCCCCTTTTTGTGTAACCACTGCAAAATGCACCATCATTGCTTATACTCTGTTATGGACAAAAGTTAATCAGGTTCTGCTCTTCAGAGGTTCTGCTTGAGGGCTTCCAAGACCTTTTAAGGACACAATTATCACAAAGCTCAGATCTCATGAGAGAGTGCTCAGTGTTGTTTCAGCTTGTTCTTTACATGGAGACAAGCTCTTTCTGAAGGCTTCCTTCCTTAGGCGCGGGCATTGCCATGTTTTAAGCCCTGGTTGTGCTGAATGGTGTCAGGTACACCAGTTGTGACAAGGCCTCCAGAACGGCCCCTCAAGTCTTCTGGAGCAGAGCACTTTGCAGATGTTTGGAGTTTTTTTTGGAGGGGATTGTTGCTTTTGTTTTGTTTGGGTTTGACTTTGTGTCTAGTATGTAAACTGAAAAGGCCTCTCCTGTCATACAAAAATGCCTGTCTGTTATGGGTTTTGATTCCCTCAAAATGCTTTTCCCTTCACTTTCTACATTGGAAGATGGACAGCATGTGTGCATATATATAACCCCGACTGCATTCCTTACGTTTACAGATGAAGGCAGTATCATCTGTCTTACAGAGCTATTATAGACAGGATTTTCATTCTTTCTTTTAGAATATTCAACAGAAATATAAACATCCCCTTACAGAACCTCAAATAAAATTTGCGTCTTCTCACATGTAAGTGATCCAGTAGTGATTTGCTCTCCCAGTTTTCTCCATGCAGAGAAGTATCAACCCTAAAAATAACTTAAGAATTTATTTGAGGAAGATTGTTGAATGCCTTACTATAGAAAAGGCATTTTGAATCCATCATCGTTACTTTATCTCACACAGTATTCAAACACTGATAAAGAAAACTCACACCAATCCCTCGCGGACATTAAGCCCCTTGGTTTTCTTATGAACCACTCCATCACCTTGACTTTTTTCAAGCAATTTTAAACTCTACTGAAGTCTGCACACCAGAATGAAAGCATGACTTACGTGTCACAAGAAAGTTAGCTGGCTATACATATGGATTGCTAAAAATATGTATTACAATGTATTATCTATATTATGTTTATTACATAAGGCTTTGTGCTGAACACAAATAATTACTAGAAGTCATCCAATGTGATAAAATAGTTACCTGGTTAGTAAGAAAACTGGATCAAGAAATTGTACGTAACTATATTTTCAAAACGGTGTTGGAGCCAAAAAAAGGGAAAAAAACTCTATTTCATGAATTCTTACCTTTCTGTTTTGATCATAGGCAGAATCAATTCCCAGAACGCTGCCGACTTCCACGTATGGGTACTGCTTCTCAAGAACACTAACCACATGCTCCACCTTCAGCCGACCTCCTGTTTTTACTTTGTTGTATATCTGAAAGGGGGATACAAATACAAGTTTCCAGCGGCAACTGTAAAGCTTCTGTCCTTATCAAAGGTAAGCTGACCTGTCACCTGTATTCCAGTAATTACAATAAGGCATTAACAGCCAGACTGCAAAACATATTTGCATATTTATTAGCTGCAATAACAGCTCCTAAGCACTTGTAGCTCCTATAATTATCTTGCTTTACCTCGTAGTCATTCCAGTGAGACTGGAAGAAGGTAAATATCATTTATTTCTTTAAGTAATAACTTGCCTCTAATTAGAAAAGGTATTTGAAGGGGAAGAGTAGTGCTTAGGGAAAAAAGGCTGAAGTAAAGCAGATCAAAAGAGCTACAACACAACAGACCTCACATGTAAAGTATGTAACTGTTTCCCTCTTGAAGGCACAAAATTTTACTTCAACTTACAAATGCACACCCCAAAAAATGTAAAAGGCATTGTCTTCAAATCGCCAGCAGTTTAATGTTACTGTATGCCCCAGCTGCTCGATTTCTACAACGATGTCAAACCACAAGTGAAAGTGCATTTACTAGCACCTACGTTATCCTTTGATGTGGCAGAAGTATGCAGCAGGAACTGCTCAAAACAAATTACGGTGTTGAAGGGATACAGCAGTTTAGAACTCATTGGCAGAATGAGCAAAGAGGCAGGATCAGAAAACCGTGCCAAAGTGTTGTCACATTTAAATCTGTTACAGTTAGGTCAGAAGCACTTTACAAAGAAACATTTGTTGTGTGGTACTAGTATTCGGAGATACTCTGAATACTAACCGAGTCAAATTAAAATTTCTTCCATTATCTACATATTAGCATGTTAACATAATCTTATTAAAACATTAATTTGCCTTTTAAATGAATACTTACAGACATGACAGTCTGGAAAGCGTAATTATTGTCTGTTTCTTGTGCCACATAATTGTATGTCCTAAGGAGGGCAACACCAGGATCCTGAAGTCCATCAACATCCACCGAGTCATTAACCACAAAGACTAGTCCTATCCTGCAACCGAACAAATCCCCAGATCATGAATCTATTATACTAATAAATAATCAACTCTTCTTACAGCTGTCAGCTATGATCGTCATCGTAGACAGTGGCTTTTTCTGGAACAGACTGGTAAGATTTTGAGCAGAGTGGCCAGAAATCAAACTGAAGACGTATAATCTCTAATGGTGAGTCCATCAGAATCTTGCTTTTCATCTCTCTCTTATCCAAAGTACTTGCTTTTAAGTTTCTTTTGGACTGTTAAAGAAACTGAGTTCTGTTTTGCTAGTAGCAAAAGTTATATTCAAAAAATCTTAAGTAAGAAGTAAATGCCCTTCCCAACCACCCATACAAGATATCTAACATTTCTACAGCATCCTAGCAATGAGAATTTTGCAATTTCAGAAGTCACAAAAATCAAACTGATATAAAAAAAATCCTGTTAAAACGTAGCAATTACCTCAATGGGATGTGGTTACTGAAGAACATCTCTGCCACGTTCAGTAATTCTGCTGTGGTCTCGTGAGTAGGATCCACTATCAGCACCTGCACATAAATTGCAAGTGAAAAGTTTCTGTTCCCTTAAGAAGTCAAGATACGAGTTTTTGATTAGCGATAGCTTCATTGATGTCTCAGTGCGGAATTACCATCAGTCCTATTTTATGCACTGCCAGGGAAATGAGGTCCACTAAATAATAGTTTCTTCTGAAGTCATCCTGTCTAAACCACTCCTTTCACCAGATGAGACCAGACTCCTTACATACTTCATCTTTACCTCAGTATCCCCTAGCATCCAGGCTTCCGCCTCTGGATGTACACAAATCCACCCATTACGATGTGCATGGGAGATCGGCATTTGTCAGAACTGAGGAACACAGCATTGCTCTGCTCAGCACCCCTGGACAGCCAATGCTGCTAAGGCATTCGCAGAGCAAGCCCAAACCCAGACAGAACTGGGCCATTCAGAATGAATTTAGTGCCCTTTATTTATGCCAAGAGTTGCCTTTTAGTAATTTAAATGTTAGAAGTACTGAACTCCAGAGAAAAAGAGAACACACAAAAGCTCCCACAGCTTCAGGTGGTTCAGGTCCCTATTTGCCACTAGTCAGAGGAGTTGTTTTTGCTACAGGGCCAGCCTGCCACATGACAAGTGTACAGTACAGAATTTACCAACTCCATGTGACTAAGTTTAAATAGTTTACCTAGAGACTATAAGGACACCTAGGATGAAGCTGAGAGCTGTTGATCATCTTTTGAAGTCTCGGTGCAAGAATGCTTTCTAACTGAAACAACTGCAGTTGGTCTTAATCCTGTTAAGAAGATACTAATTAACAAATCTGAGGGATTTCATTAACCAACTTCAGGTATTACCACAAGGTTGAAATGCACCAAATTCTCACTCATCAGATGATAGTTTTTTTCCACTGATGAAGCAATTTTTGGTGTCCAATAGATGCCAGAGAATCATGCTCAGTAATTTCTGAATGTCAGCCATAACTCACAAGTAGAACAAAACCTTTTAGAAAAGCATCCAGTCTCAAGGTATTTAAGTGACAGGGAATGCAGCATATATGTAGGTGAGCTGCAAACGCTAATGTCCCTGCTGTTAAAAAACAACATGCACATTTCATTCCTAGTCAGATTACTACTTACAAAATTATGGAAGTTTTTTCTGATCTGCCTGATCACGCCTGGAAACGTGGGACGCAGCAGTTCTTGCACACTGGAAGGCCAGGAGTTATACCGACTGTCAACTTCAAGATTGTTGATCCACTAAGGAAAAATAAAGGCATTTGAAGTCCTCCTGCTCGAGTGTGAGACTGTGAAACATTTTCAAATCAGACAACTATATAGAGAACTGTATGAATAAGTTAAAAAAAGCTTTTCAAAAAGAGCTAATTATATTTACAACCTTACTTTTTTTCTCCACTGCAGTTTCAGAGCTCATTGTGAGAGAAGAACAAAACTTCCCCTGGCAGTTTAAGAACGCGCTGCCCAATGGCAGATAAAGTGTCACTCACACAAAACCATACGCACTGAAATAGCAGGGCTTCTGATGTCCACAGCGTAGTCGGAATCTGATGGCTGGATGTTCAACTTCAGAACATTGTGCAAGGAAAGACCCTCAATTCCTAAGCTGTGCAGGCCTTCCATAACGCGGGCTTCATTGCGTAGCACATCAATCAAGCTGGAAGGAAAAGAAAAAATGTTGAATCTTGAAGACACAGCAAATAACTTGCTCTTACCCTGAGTGGTAACAGATGAAAGGTATGAACAAGCCTGCTGTGTCTGTGCATTAGTTCTTATTTATCACCTATTTCTAACTGTCCTATGAAACCAGAGATAACTTACACCTATTCAACTATATTATACTTCTAGGAGAAACTATATGAAGTCAAGATAACTAAAGCATGATACACATATCAATTCCACATTACTGAAACAAATCTTGACGTGATACAGGGTGGTTTTCAGATGAAAAATTTACAGCGGTTTATCCTTTGAGAATCAGTCTGCTGTCTTCAGAATAAGATCTGTACGTTGACAGTCTTGGAGACAAAAATCCTGCTAGTCACAGCACAGATCAAAAGAACAGTACAAAGGTGACTTCCTATTTCATATTCTAGAATATTCCAGATTTCACATCAGCTTTTTTGTTAGAAATGCACTTGCCAAAGAGAAGGAACCACGATTTGCTCTCTGCAGTACTTACCAATTAAACTTAGTCTAGATACAGACTTTGTGAAGAAGGTTCGGAACTGTCTAAGTGACTTTACCATCCGTGCACAAGCAGGATGCCAGCTTCTAAACAGGATACAGTTAGTCTGAAAAAAAACACCAAAACCAAACATTCCTACCTAAATATGTCCTGAGTGTCTAAATCAATAAGTAGTCCATTGATGAACAGGGCAGAGTCTCCTGGTTGTAATCCTAATGTTCCTTTGAAATACTGAAAGAAAGTAGAAGGCCATTAGAAGAATGCTCTGCACAAGAAAAATTACTAGAGTTTAATGTGTCAAAAGTGTAGATTTTATCTCCCTTATTACATTACAAATTGCATTACATTACTTGTCAACTACAGTCTTTGCCAACTTTGTGTGAATCTGTATCAGAGGAAAAAACAACAGAAGCTATTCAGTGCACAGATACATAAATGGGACTTCTGTTTATCTTGACATGATGCAGTCCCTGAGTAGGCTCTTTAAATATACTCAGATTAAATAATTAGAAATGCTTGAGGGAAGATTAAATAATTAGAAATGCTTGAGGGAAGCAAATTTTTTTTTTTTTAGCTGACAGCCCATAAAGTAGATGGACAAATAGCACCCAGTCACCTGCCTTAGCTCTTTAACATGCAATTTTGGGCAGAACAGACTTAAACTGCTGGATATTGCGTGCACTCACTAGTGGAACTAACTGCTGTGTTTAAGGTGCAAGTTAAGTCCTGACCTAGTGGATGTGTCATCAGTGAAAAGCAGGTGAGCTGCCACTGTAGTCTGATCTCCCCAAAATCAGACAGCACGCAAGACTTAGCAATGTCTTGGATTTTTTTCCAGGTACCTCTAAGCAGTACTCCTTTTGAATGGATACTTGCCACCACTGGAGAGAACAATTCTGAATCGGGGGAGGCGAACAAAACACAGTCCTCCTGGAGCAAATTTCCTAACTCTAGCATGAAAATTTCTGTTTAAAACCTGAAAAATGGCATTGCTTTCTTGCAATACCTTTTATCTTGCAGTACCAGTTACAAAATTCTGTTAAGAGGCATGATGAACACTGAAGGAGAAACATAGTATTTGGGCATTTAAAAACACTAATATTGTGAAGAATGCGAGCAAAGCAAACAGAGGAATAGCGGAGTACCACGTGAAGCACCAAGAACAGGAAAGCAGCATCTAATCAGGAAGAATTTATATATTTTATTAAATAAAAAAAAACTCCAGAGAAGAGCTAAGTACATGCAATGCTAAATTGTTTCTTTTAGTGGATAATTATATAGTGAATTATAACTTTCCAGTAGCAGTGAACTTCACTTATCAAATAATACCCACACAGAGTCATGCAAAGAATAGCTTCAAAGGGCAGGGTTAGATCTAGCCAAATCTGGATCTAGCAGCCTAGACATACTTTGAACAAAAACGAATCCACAAAATCACAGGTTTACCTGTGGACCAGTCTGATCTACCACGTAACAGAAAAGCCACCAGGTAGCTGTAGCTTGCACTTACATTCTATACTTTGTCCCTTCCAGAACCACATGGGACGACAATGTCAAACCGCATCCCTTCTTTTTGGATTTTATCACTATTGAACAAGGGATTTCTCTTTCAGAACAGGAATCTCAGGGGACTTGTAAGTAGATGTCAGGTAACTTTGCATTTACTAGTACACTAGCCAAATATCATTGATTAGATTTCGAACAAAGACATGAGTGTGTACTTAACATACTCTGTATTTCTCCTGTTAATACTAGGTGAGACTGAAATGCATAAATAGATCAGCATAGATCATAGAACAAAAGTTCTTTGGCTTTGTTTTTATTACCATCTTGAACTTTTATTTTGCAGTCTATCCAGACTGCACTACCAGGTGTGTTTTAATTGCACGAAATTCTGTACAAAAGCCTGTACAAAATTCCCAAGTGGCTACTGTTTCTTTCAGTACTTTGCTGATGCCAGGTACACAACAGAGCTGTTGAAACATTTTTCTGCAAACACCTGAGCCCACTCAGTGACCTCCTGAAGTCCCTCACAACCTGGGGTGGGTTTTTTTTTTAGTGATTCTGTTTCAAAGCACATGTAGACTTACTTGGATAGCTGTTCAACTTTGTTCGTTCCCTAGTTTCACTCTCAAAACACCAACATTGGAACCATTTCCTCCACACAGCATGAATCATTCTAAGCTGTGGCAGAAAGTTTTGAGCTTATTCTGTGACCTCCTTGTAAACGCTGATGAATTCAGGTATCTTAGCACCATCTCAGACTGGGTAATGAGAACTAAATTTCTTCTGCATCCTTAAAACTGTAAGAAGGTGCTTAATATATTTGCTTTTCAAGCAATAGTTTTCTAACAAGCTACGTTCCATCCAGCTCAGACATTTTAAAATAATCTAAAAATATTAACTACATTTTGACTCTAGTCACTTCTGCTAAAAAACACACTTTAAATACCTAGTTACTTTTGAGAAGTTCAGAATACAATCAAAACCTAAAATCAGTAACTCGATGTCAGTCTCTTTTAACTGTTACCCAGGATGAGTAGTGCTATGACGTTCCAACTTAGACATCTGCTATACTGCTCAAATTAAGAACTAGGTCAGAGACTGAAAGGCGGCCAGCCGGCAGGCACAGTCCTACAAGAAACATACTGACCATCTCTATACAACTTTAGCAGGCAAGCCATCACTACAAACGTGTAACTCGGAAACTAAAGGCAGATGTGACACAGTCCTGTCCTGTAGGTCAAATTCAGACAGTCTGCATGGAAATCCTAAGAACACCTATGCTGTGTTTTCTGTAAATTAACATTTTCTGCCAGGGTTAACAACATAGTACTTTCATTGTATTTAAAATTAATTTTGTAAAGATAAATAAACACAGTTAACAGATTCTGACTTCAGATACCGAGCAGAATGTCGCTTTCATATACGTTAACAAGTGCTTGTCAAATAACTGTCAGAACACTTGACTACTAGAAACAACCACTGCAGGGGCAGCTCTGTGAACAAAATCCCATAACATCCTTCCCCAACACAGTGATCTCACTCAAAGAGTTTCTGACCAGTATTTTCATATTTGAGCAAACAAGCTAAATTATGTTCCTAATCCATGTTTGAAAATCCACCACTTCTTTACTTCCCAGATGCATACAAAGTTGTGTGTGAATACTGATGCAGGTCATTATTTTTGAGCAAAAAGGAAACTTATTAATAGAATCACTACTTTCAAAGCTTGAATTTATATTAAAAAGTAAGTGCAAAAGCACTACGTTACTTGCTTAGAAGCATTACCTTTTGGTTCTCTTCAATTTCTGCTCGGAGTTCCGAAGAAACAACTGTTTTTGTTATGGCTCTACAGAAATAAAAACATCATTCTGTCAATCATCTTTCTATTTATTTAATGGATAGAGTAGATGTCTACTTATCCTACTTTTTGTGCCTTACATATAAATATATTTAGTCTCCTAGTATAAGGAGTTGCAATCAAAAGCACTTGTACTTTGTGGTACCATTAAACAGTAGGATGCACCATTTTTTCTTATACTGTATAACTCAACAGAACATAAAAATGGCAACCACATGCCAGCTCTCAGTGTCTAATTTCACCTTAGCCATAATCAAAGTGGGCAGCTGCCAGAAAGGTAGAGGTGGAGGCTGGCAGCAGGAAGCAGGGGGATTTCACTCCTTGTGGGTTCCCATTCCCTTCCTTCCACTCGATCTAGTGACTGGCGAGTACAGCTCACCGATCTGACTGAAAACGCAATGAGAACGCAATGCCTACCTTAAGCAGCTACAAATAGCACAATCTTAACTTCAGGTAGTGGGAAGTACGACCAAAATTCAGGTTGTTTTTAGTCTCAGGTAACTTACTCAAAAAAAAGGAGCTCCTATAATATCATCTTCACAACCCAGGTCATGGAATGTACCAAAAGAAATGTATTTCTAGACTGGTTGGGCAAGCCAGATTGTGACTGAATTTCTTGAAATTAATTTGAGTATCCTCAAGACAGTCATTGACAAAGTGGAAAAAACAGTGGAATTGCACATAAGTCTCTGACATGAGACTGGCTGGGCTGTTTGCCAAAGCAGATCCCAGAAGAAAGGTGGGATCCAGTGAGTAGATAAAGCTTAAAGCACCAAACAGAAATCCTATCTAGTAAATTCTTGAGGACTTGATGCAAAAGGTTCAGAAGCATTTCACAACAAAATAGCACGGAGGATTCTGTCAAATTTTCCAACAGTCCACATCAACTGCCATCCAAGAGAAACACTGCAAGATCCTCTTTGTAACCATAGGCTGAAGAACTTCTCTGCGTAAACATTCCCCAGTGTTTGCTTCCAGCTAAATGGAAGCTCGGACATTAACCCAGCCAATGCTGCCTGTCTCAGGTTCTGCTCAGGAAAAAAAAAAAAAAGTAAGAAAACTTCTAGAACCCATGATTAAAGTTACCTGGCCTTTGTAGGAAAGTTCTGACTGATATATTTCATGACCATCAAAGCATCCACTGGCGGAGCAGTCAAAATGCGAGCAGCTGTTTGAAAACTTAAATCTAGAAGTGAAGAAACAGAAGTCAAAAACTCTAAACTGAAAACAAGCCAACGCAGAGTCCTCTTAGCTGTAGCTTTCAGCTTTTTTTCCTTGTTACCCATGAAAATTCATTTTCTATCTGTGCCTTTAGATACTTTTATTTTTAATCTTCTTCCTTGTATTCAACTTCTGTTTGTTGCCTTGAAGTAAGCAAGCCTTTCGAAATGAAGCAATGTATCCTGTCTACAGGTTGCCTCAATGAGTCCGGACCGTCGCCCTTTTTTTTGGCTGAGGTGGGGGGATATGCCCTTCTGAAGGGGTCTGGGTACGTTTCACAAGCTGGAAACATCAACAGCCATCTCCTGGACATAGGCAGGTACATCTCTGTGGCTATAACATATGTTCAGCATTTCAAATTACTCTTTTTTTCAGAGGATGAAAAGCCTTTCCACAGGCCTCCACAGACTGTTTCCAGAGAGACAAGTCAGAGTTGCATGCAGATGCTTTTGAAATACCCATTTCCTTTGCTCTTGAGAAATCTCGGCTTTCCACACCAAGAATGTGACCGTGGAAAGAAACTTTACGTTTCCTTTGCTTTTCTGCCTCTAGCAGATCATACAAGTAGTCAGTTTAAGAGCAAGTGGCCTACTGTGCTGCCCAATACAGAAAGCAAACCTCATTTCAGAAGTCCGGTGAAACTCTCTTTCTGACAGCTATTTCAACAGGACACTACAAAGGCGCTTTAGAAAATCCATTATTTTGCAGTGCAGGAATTTACAGGCAAACTCTCTCAACTGTACACAGCCCCTAGCAACCTCATCTGTGTAGAGCACATCAAGATACGTTCACATTAAGTTTTTGCAGTACAGTCCTGAAAGTCTTCCTAGAGATTACCTTGTAACTGCCATACTTTCAGAGGCGCCATTTCATTGGTACTTTCCACGAGGTGTTTCCTGAGATCTTTCAGCTCTTCTGTCAAGTCAGGATACAGCTGCCTGAAAGGGTATGAGGGTAAAACAGCTTCTGTGATTTCCTATAAGCAAGTCTGCTGCTAATTCAAAGAAAGTAAGATGCAAAAAAGTGTGCTGCCAACACATATGGATAACTCAGGCATTTAAAAAATAATAACAAAGCAAAAGATCTGCATCAAGTTTTTCAATATGACAAAGACCAACAACTTACGACTGAGTTTTACCTTAGTCTTCCAAACAGAAATCCTTGCACTTCATCAATGGGATCATTTTCACCTATTACTGTAGCATTCACGTCGGTGCCTGTGAACACACAGAGAACAAGACTATCACCAAGTTTTTCAGAAACAGTTCTCACACTCATCTTCATTAGTGAAAACTACACTGCAGTTAACCAAAAAGAAGAAAGAAAGTGCAAGTTTCAGGTTTAATTTTAAACCTGCATCCAAGAGATATTACCTGTACAAACGAACACAGTAACAGCTGAAATAAAACCAAGTTGGAGTATTGAGAAGGAAGAGCCTAAGATGAGTGGAAATCGCAGAGACCTAGGCACTGCAGAGGAGTTCATTAGGGCTTAGGAGCTTTCAGGACACGCCAGCTATGTACAGTGAAGTGCTAAACTTGAGTTGTGAAAACAACCCTGATTTTAGCCCCTAAATACGTGATAAAAAATAATATCCGAGTGAAGTCCAACTCTGGACTTAAACGTCAACAAGAAATGCGTGCAGAAGACTCACACAATCTCCTAACTAGCTGGACGCAAGTCAGCTCCAATCGAGATGCTTTATGCTCAGGTCTAACTAAAGGACGTGACCTTTTCGATGAGTGTTTGCTTCGGGACATCCCAAAACAGCACAGGCGTCAATAAAAGACTGCGCGGTGGGAACATTCCCAGAATCAGACGGGGGCTGGATGAGAACCATGTACGTCTCATGTGGGGCTTGCTGTTTATGAGCTATTTGCACCTCACAGCAATGCAAGTACAGTTTGTCCATTCTGTAAAACATTTTAGATTACTGCATCAATACTGGTATAAAACTTCAAAAGTTTACAAATAACAAATCTTCCCCAGAATTTTTTTTTTCTCCACCTGCAGAGAAAAAGGCCTCCAACGTCCTATTCTACAAACAATATCAGGGCTTTTGTATGACTTTTTGATGACAAATTAATGGAAATTGTCGCACAGTCATAAAAATTTTAAGTTGGATCACCTCATCTAGTATGTTAGTTGCTCTTAAAATTAAATACTTTTACAAATTAAGACCAAAGGGTTTACGTGTCTAGATGGTGGCAAAATATTCTGAGTCAGAGTTTAGATCTGTATCTAGAAGCTGATAAAACTGCAAAATCCTGAAGAACCCAACTCAAAATCCAAGTTCTGTTCTCCAGAACTGGTATCTTGGGGAAAAAAAAACAAAAACCATCAACTACAACCAAAAAAACAGGAAATTCTAGGGTTTTATATATGTGCATGTCTATATAAATAAAAAGTATATACGTGCACAGATTAACCTAACAAAATCGTTTTGGCAGGTGCATGAGAGTTTGCAAAACAGAGATCAGTGCTCTAAAGAAAGCAGCAAAAGCAAAAAAATCATGCAGGATTCTGCTTTCCCAAAGAACAAGAACAGGAAACACATTCTGCTCTGAGGATGGATAAGCTGAGGCAAATTAAGGTAGAGGAGTTGCTTTACATCTGCAGAGAATCTGGTTATCTGGTAAAAAATCAGCTGCGTTAGTAGTGCCTTTACTAACATCTAGTCCAGAGTCGTGACTCCATTGTGCCCAGCATTCCACAAAGACAGAAGAGAAGTGCCATGGCAAGGATGTGTTTCATAAAGGACATAATCCCAAAAGAGAGAGGAAGAGAAGCGATTTCAGAGCCAAAGAAAGAATATGTGCAATTCAGACACTCATTCATATTAAAAGAGGTATAAAATTATCTTTGCAAAATTTAAATGTTCACATTAAAATAGCTAAAATAATAATTCACCTTTCACCTGTGTATCGTCCTTGGCCTTGTATTCTGTACTTTTAATAGCCAGTTCCACACCATAGCCAGAGAGGTAGACTTTTTGTTTACTGGGATTCTGTAAGGAAAAGCAACAAGTCCAGTATTGCCACTCTTTGTTTTGATGTACAAATTTAAAGCTGCCATTTCCCAAAGCGCAGAAATCTCAGGCTGGTACACATTTCACACACAACTGGTGGTGCATGAGAAGTGCACACAGTGAGTGATTCTGCAGTAACATACTGTAATAATTACACTTCCTATTTTATTTCAACAAAACTTTTTGAAGTTCAGAGACCAAATACATCTCTGTGAACCAAAAAAACACTGAAAACCACAAAGCAAGAAGGAACACAAAACAATGTTTTCGGGATTCAGCGTGGAAGCCAAGTAGAGCGGGATAGACTCACGTCATCAAATCAGATAGAGGGGGGGAAAGGAACTTCAACTGTGACGTTCAAAAATGAAACATTCACTGAAGAGTTACAACAGAGAATTACAAAACAACTGGATAAATCAGTGACTCAAGAGAGACGCATAATGCGTTCTGATTTTAATGGGAAACAAAAACGAGCAGTTGTTAGAAGTATTTTGAAGTATACAGGAGTCACACAACTGTGTCAAAATTTACTGTGTAATACACTTAATTTTGAATGTAAATACTCCTCCAACACTGATAAACAAATTCCTTTTCAAAAGGAAAATGGTGCACGCAATGTGTGACTTTATCAAAAGTGCAAATGTCGCTAGAAGTGAACCAGCTGATGCTTTGTTTGCGTTCAAGTCTGGCCACTACCTGCTACGCTGCAGGTTTTAGGAACCTTAAGCAATATTCAGGAAGAAAGTCAACTCGGATTTCTCAGAGCTTTTGAGATGTAAACGGTAATCCAGTGGCTATGGGCAATTTAGGGGAGGGAGATGGAAACCAGAATAAACCGCACTAGGACTGGTCAGCGGTTCTCTAAAAAAACTGCTACAGAAACGCCTTTCACTTGAAAATGGTACCTTCAGGTTAATCCCCGCTTTTCATATCAAGTAACTAACTGGCCTGACCATGGAAAGATGTAATATAGGTAAAGCAACACTTTTTTAGATCAAACTCTGTAATTTATCTGGAGTTTAGGTCTGCATTTGTAAAGTCAAGTGATCCTCCTATTTAAAAGAATCATGAGATTTTAAATATTCTGAATTCTTCAGCTACATGCAATAAAAAATAAACTTCCGAATCACTACCAAGGAGCAACATATTATGCAAATATCAGTTTAAAGGAAACAAACTTAGGCCGGTTTTCTGTTTTGAAACCCAGGCAAGGTACTCTCTCCATGCCAGATACCTCTGTTGCAATGCACAAATATACTTACAGCAATATAGTGTCTGAGGACGTAAGTGATTTCTCCTGCCTTGGCCTTTAAAACAAGCCTCCTGTGGTAGCTGTAGAACTCCGCTGAGCCAATCTCAGCGTAAAAGATGATGACAGGGCTTTCGGGGTTGGACACTGGGTACTTGTGGTCCCCTTTGAACAAAAATGGCTTTGGCCTAAGAGTAAACATTGAAGATTATCAGATACACTGTGATTCATAGCATTTCCTCACTCGATGCAAGATGCAGAATTTCCTTTTCTCCAGTTCAATCACTGTTCCTGTCTTCACTGAGCACATAGGTCAGGCTATTCCCACATACGATCAAGGTCGGCAGCACTTCATGCGTGTTGAAAAAGCTTTGTTAAAAATGGATGTATGAAAAGTAAACAAGTAGCTAGGTGCTATTTTGAATCTAATGTGATCCTTATTTTAAAATTGTGACCACTTCCCTTAAATTTTCAGTCAACTTTTTTTCCTCCCCAACAGCGAATCATAAATTCTGTATAGAAAAAATAAAAGGCTAACAGACAAAAAGATCCAGGAGCTCAGATTCAAGGGAACCCTGTCCTTGGCTTAGTATACAAACAAGAAAGTGAAGGAGAAGACTGTTTCCAACTTCTGCTTTTAAATTTTGACTCAAATACAATGAAATATTTAAAATATTCCCAGTGAATGAGAAGAACGGTATGTGAGTTATAGATGCCATATGTCTGCACACTGACAAAAAAAACCCCTTACGCTTACAAAAACCAAAACTACCAAGATTACTATGAAGACAAACTGAAATGAAAAAAAGGTATTAGATTTTTATAGTTTATTACTAAAAGTTACAGTCAAGTTCTGTTCTTATAAAGAAAGCTGAATTTGAAATACATTGTGTGCTAATAGGAAACGATCTCTGTTATACTAACTACCATTTTAATATGCAGCCCAGCTCTTTTCTCCCTGCATGCTAAAGGCTTTACATATTCCTGCGAATTCCTACCATCCTTCAGCAAAGTGTTTCCAGCTTTTCCCATGCACTTTCAAAGCATTCCTTCTCCTAGCAGAGTAACAAAGAGCAAGGGATAAGAAAACAATCGCTCCCATCTGGATTAATAAGAAATAAGAGACCGCCACTTCTGGGCAAGCAATGGACAGTATAAATCAACACTGAAGAACGTCGCAGCTAATGGTTTATTACAGTCTCTTCACAGCAGTAGGTCTGTCTAGGTTCCATTTTAAGAGCTAATCCAATGATAGGAAGTGAAGCCAATACCTTTCTGCAGCTGCCTGTAAAAGGCTTCCAAGAGAGTCAAATTCACACGTCTTCTCCCCATGCACAGCAAAAAACAGGGCACAGCCCTTCGGTGGAGGTTCATCTGCTGCTATCTGTATTAAAATGTTTGTAATAAAGTAGGTTGAATGTTTGACCTTAGAACAAGTGAAAATGATAACAGTGTAGCTCTGTAGCAGTTGCTCTTCTTCCATTTCCTAATTCTAAACTAATACGTCTTCCCTGTTTATTACATAATTTAAATACAAGGTAAAAAATGCAAAATTGAGAGTTAAGTCTTAACTGATTACAAATAGTTTTCCAGTCTATTACTATTAACTGTAATATTAGTTCAGGTACAAGAAGTGAGGCTTGTGATTGTGGGGGTTTTGGTTGGGCTTTTTTTTTTTTTTTTTTGCATTACACATCAGACACCTCTGTATTTGGTAAAAATCAAATGACAAAATTATTCCAGACAAAAAAGGAAGATGTCTCCTAGTATTATTGAAGTAAAGCAGTAAAGCACGTTATAATGCGAGGCAATTTGCAGTCAACTGTATGATACCCTGAGTTTAAAAAAGAACAGAGAGTGCAACGAACTTCCCTTTGGGGGTTCTAATCATTAGAGCTATGTATTCATGAATTCCTGTCTTGAAGTAAGTACAGCTGAGTAACGGGAACAGCAGCACCATCACAAGCACCAACGGAGGCAGAGGAATTTTCCTCATAAAAATCTTCACACGTTTTAGTGCAGCGGGCATCAAAGACATGCAGGCATTTTGAAATCCCAGTTCTTTAGTCTACTCTAGACAGATGGACTGAAATGTGGCAGCCAGTGAAATCAGAATATCGTATGCTCTTTAGCTCAGACGTATGAAACACTTCATCAGTTCAAGATTTTCGATATCCTCAGCTGTCTCCTTACAGAGCTCGCTCCTTCCTGGGCCTTGAGTAATGCTCTACAAATCACCTGAGGAGCTCCCCTGTGCCATACTAACCTGTTGGAAGGCTTGAACTGTTGCAGAATAAGAGCGTAATGACAAGGAAAATTTCAGTAAATTCTGCTGCAGAGGTGACAGAGTCTGGCAGGCTACTTTCAGCATTTCCTGGTAAGAAGAGTAATCGCTACCTGCAGAGTCAAAGGACAGGCAGTTACCTTTCTATACCGCATCCTCATTGAAGAGGGGCTTTTCATCTCAGCTGCGACTGATACTAACAGAAGCCCCGGACATTAAAGGTAAATATGCACATGACTGCTCCTCCTCAATTTTCATCGCAGCCAGTTCTACAGATGGATGAGAGCGGACTTCAGTAGAGATCCACAAGAGTACAGTTCCATACATTCCTGAGGGTGCAAACACAGGCTCGGGGAGACGGGAAACAGCTGAAAGCTCCCCGTTCATTTCAGATCAGAAAGAAACACAGAGAAAAAGCACTGATAATATTTTATACCTCATGTTGAAACAGAAACTGGCAAGTAAAACATGTTTCATGCATTAGTCAGACAGATACCCAAAAGCCTTGAGCACTTTGCAGTAAAAACATCGATGAAATCAGTGCTCATTCGACTTTTGCGATACTAACAACGGAAGGCAAAACATTTTAGCTTAGTTTTCAACCATGTCGACCATCAGTCATCATCAAGAAAAAGGTTATGAAAACTTACCATCGTGTTCAGAGGTCTTAATATTTTGACTAGCTTCAACAAAGTTCCAGAATTTTTCTTGACCCTCTTCTGATAAAAATTCACTGAGGAAGGAGAGAAGAGTTAGCTAGATCTCCGAATTTTCTCTGAAGTCACAATTCTAATACTTTGTAAAGCTTTACAGAAAGTTAGCTCCTACCACGTCTTTACCTATATCCTATCAGATAACCATCTGTTACTAGAAAAAGCAGACCAGGAGAGCTAGACCAACTAACCCAAACAAATAAAAATCGCAGGCCAGGACAAACACACAGTCCATGGCAGCAGCTTGTCAAGCACCTGTTCATCTCTCAGACCACTGGCAGACAGCAGTGAACGTGCTGGGAGCTCTCCTCCCCAGCGCATTTCTTTGCTGGCTGTCTTTTCTGAGAAACATACGTTTTTGTTTGCCTTGCTGTAACAAAGGAGTTTGTTGGAACTGCTAGCTTTGGTGGGGTTTTTGTTTGTTTGCTTGTTTTTAAATGAGCAAAAGGAGAAGTCACAGGTTCAAATCATCATGGTGTAACAATTCACTATATATTAAGCATGCGATTAGGTAGGCATACAGTGTTAGATAGTAAAATAACTCTAAACCTCGCTAGCAACAGACACTTCATCAGGTCTAAACCCGTAACGTGCTTCGTATGCGGAAGGATGCTGCAGCACAAGGCTGGGAGCCTGCTAGCTGCCACGATAGCTCGTGGGTTCGATTCAGCCTGTTCCAGCCCAAGGCGATGGGTACTTCCTGAACCACTGGGTAATGAACTGCAGCGCTGGGCTGAGCAACTGGAACAGCAGGAGTGATTTTACACTGCAGTGCTGTATCATTCTGCAGTTCACTCCAGACGAACAATCCTGAGTACCCAAAATCTTTGGGTACAATGATGAGGTTATATATCAAGGTCTCCTTTGGCACACAGTTTTAATTATTTGCTTACTATTTCACGGTCTCCTAGGATGAGCTTTTCCCCTGCAGATGTCTTGCACTGTCAGGGTATTTAAATCCTGGCACTAACATCTGAGCTTTGCATTTTACTGCTTAAGAATTTTTCAGTCTTCAACGTTCAGCTTCTATAGAGAAGGTTACAGAAAAGTAATTTCACCTAGGACACAGCCATCCTATCACCCAAAGCCATGCCCGTTTGACTGAAACCCACCAGTGCTCCGCTATTGTCATGTGAACCCATCTGCAGTAACATAGGCAGAATTCCATGCAGGGCAACACCCTTAAGCGATGGAAAATTAAACACACACAATTACACAAATAAAAGTCCTGTTTTGCATAGACATCTCCAAATTAGAATACCGCAGCATGAAGTGATGGAGACTTCTGAAGTGCTAAGTGGACTGGCAGAAGCATTATGCTTCCTTTTTCATTTTTAGATGGCGTCTTTAAAAAGTCTTTAATACCATAGAAGAAATCTCCCCAGGCTGACTTGCACAACTCTTAACAAAGCAGTTGACTTCAGACAGTCGATGCACAACTCGCATGAACAAAGTTAAACTCAAGCCTAACCAAGCTAAACATACGCGAGCAACAGATACGTTTCAAAACCTACAGTCGTCACTGAAGTCAAAAATCTTCTGCTTTGGAATGTTACAAAACCATGCTAAACCTCTCCATCTAGGGCTTTGCGTACAACTTCATAAGGCAAAAAATACTTACTACAGAATTATTGTTATGCTTGTTCTAATGCACAATGGAAGAATTTACCATGCAAAAAACTACTACTGTCACCTTTACAATACTCATCCCATCTCCCCAAGCACAGCAGCCATCATGTGCAGCTGTTACTACTCTCCACCAATTAGTGGTGAGCAGAATCCAAAGCACCACGAAACAAATGAAAAAGAGAACTCACGACTCTGTCCTCTAAGCATGTTGTGATTTGTCACTGAAAAACCAGAATGCACTTGCCTTGTTTCAAGTAATAAAGGAGTTGAAAACCACTTTGTAGTTAGAGACGTTGTCACAGCCTTAGAATCTCCTTTTACAAGTGAAGAGCTGAACCAGATTCCAAGAACTGCAATAAGTATTCCCATTTTATAGAAGCAGCCTAAAAAAGACGAAGAAAAAAGTTAGTTTTACATTGTCTCTTTTCATAAATGCAGCATCTCACATATCCAGATATATTAAGGCATGTTTTAAGATTCTGTGACCCACTGAAGGCAGCACATCAGTGAGATAATCACAGTCTCACCTAGGCTTAGAAAATCAAAAATACTATGAAAACATGAAGAGAGACGAGGATTTTAAGATCTGACTCCTGAGCCGCAATTAAACCTAAATCAGTTCCAGCCTCCTCCACATTTGTCCTTCCAAATAATCTGGCTTCTGTTGTGGGACACCCCCGTCACGCACTGCTCGCGTTAAGCAGAGGTACTGCAGACAGCACGTATTTCAGATGAGGTGGAAACCCATCCCCCTGTTCCTCGTGCGGGAGGCACAGCGCAGTCCGTGTTTGCGCGGACCCCTCCGCGGGGGCACTGACCAGCGTTGGGAGGGCCCAGCAAGGTTCAGGCTCCCCGTCAGCCCTTCACGTTCTGCTGGCTGCAGCCGACGACTTCGCTGGGGAACGAAGAAACGAGCATCTCCTGGGTGCACCAAGTACCGCCAGCTTCACAAGCTGAAAAATGAACGAATGAAGATGGACTCAGATGATACAACTTACTGTGAGAAATGAGCCCAAAAAAACCAGAAAAAGCACCATTTCTGTATTGTCCTTCGTGTGTACTTTCATGGCCATATATTCTCTGACCTACTCACCGTAACTCAGCTGAGTGGAGTTCCCTGGCCCACAGCCCTTCGGCTTACGGAAGGCGTGAATTCTCCTGGTAGCTTTCCATCGTAATCTCCAAAAAGTCAAGCTTTATTCTGCCCTCTCTGCCTGGACTGTAATACACATCCAGGCGCTCTCTCGCTTTGTAATCCTTATTTTTCTAAGTCATTTTCCATTTGCCCCGCAACTGGAAGAACAGCCCACTCAAATTCCAGGTCTGTCACGCGCGACGGCCTGTCAGGATCTGACTCGTGTCTCTTTTTCATGGCGATCTCAATGTAAAAAACGGTCTTTGCCTACGTGTTACGTACCGGTAGTTACAGCTCTGCCTGTCTGTGCGTACATACACGACAAAACCACCTCCCCCAGCTGAGTTTCAAAATTCCCACTGCTCCAGCAATCACTCGCCCGCTGCTCTCTCTGTAGCTCAGCACCCTTCCAGAGTAACACCCGAGACGCCCTGCGGTAGCGTGCGAAGGGACACGTGCTCAGCAGCACGCGACGTTTGTTCCACGCCGCCCCGGGAAGCGGCCAGGTGGCCTTGCGCACCGCTTCCCGGCTACCCCCCCCCCCGCCCCCCCAGGC